ACTCGTGCTTGCAAAACATCAGGCAGACAATTAATTTCCACGTGAGCCTAAAAGGCCAAGAAACTCACCAACTACAATAGTTGTCGCTGCTAGAGGACATTATTTCTGAAGAATTTTTAATAAAGTATTATTTTGAAATACCTCAAAGATCAAATGACAGATTTTTAAATCAACAAATAGCGGCTCTCGATGGACATTTTGAACCTCAAATAATTGAATAATAGCGTTTTGATGTTAAAAGTAATAGTGATCGTTTGAACATGTATATGTTTAAAGAAAGCAAATAAGTCAATTTGGAGAAACAGTTCACATAAATTATCTAAAATTGTAGTGCACTAAAATTGTGAAAAATTATAGAGAACGTATAGAAAAACAGGGTAGAACTCATAATGCGTACTGACGAGGTACATTTTTTCAAGAATTTAAAAGTAAAACATTTAAATGGTCCGCTCTCGTCAAAAAGTTGATCTCAATTTGGAGTCTAAATTTACGTAGGCAACAATCGAAAGAAATGATCCCTAATCCGGTAGAAAATTGTCACTGTTATCTAATTTAAGATTTAGTCTTTTTTGCATATGACTCACGTTTAAACGATAGTAGCTGTATAGGTATAATTATTCTGCCTATATATAGAACACTCTACAACCCATACAGTAGGGCAGCTTATACAAGGTGTTCCAATTAAAAATCATAAGCCATGCCACGAATTTTGCAAAACACTGCATAACAAAATGGTTTTATTGACGCCATTTGTGCATAAAAAATCATTTCAAAATTACATTCCAGTTAGCCATAATCTTTCACCCCGTCTTGGTGTGGTGTAACTTGGAGAATGTGTGCAAAACATCCTCTATTTTTTTTTAAGAATAATCTATTTTTCTATATAGAAAAAATCCAGACGTAGTGCATCCGATGTGATATTAATATGATGACCAACAAACCCAGCTAAATATATTGGAATAACTGGAATGAAATGACAACTAAATTATAATTTCAACCAACTTAATGCACCCCAGTTGCTTAATTGGACATTTGCGAACAAATCACATAATTGGCATTTCCACAAGAAAACTAATAATAAATATGTAACGGAAATTACTGAGATAATATACAAAATTAGCTGGCTGATTGCTTAAAGAACGAATTGAGAAGATAAATATGTACAGGGTAGGTTCAATTCAGTGCTTTAGAGCATCATATGCGATACAAGGTCGATTAAAATGAAACAGTTCAAATTATTTTAATTCAATAGCTTTATTTTGCCTACCAAAGTTGGAAAAAACTTTAAATAAGTGACACTTGATCGTGACCGGTTTTGTGTTTCAACGAAGTGAAACTATCAAACCAACAAGAGAACGACGAATAAACCGAGAGCATCGAAATAGGAAGGAACACGGTTGAACTTGATAATCTTGCCTGCAAATCCTTCTAAAACTATCAAAATTGCTTTACATTGTAAGAAAATAGAGAACGACTAACATACAATGCCATATCAAATTTACATAAAACCGGAAAAACCAGTACAGAAAAGACATTTTGATTCCCATCTGATTATATTCTGGGATAAACCTTCAAACGCGTATTTGTGAAAATGAAATTCCTGACCGAATGGCGGAAGAGGGGGTATTTTATTCCTATTTCAATTGTTTTTTTTACTGTAAAGTAAACTTTGTAAAAGACAATTTGCAATTAATTACATTGCACAAATATCAGATTGTAGAATGCAACTATTAACATACAATAAAATATGCAAAAAATTGCGTTTATTGAATGTTCCAAACTGCCACAAACATGTCATTGTGTTTTCTATAATAAAATAATAATTCAAATGAATATGAAATTATCTTTCAAATTATTAAAAGAAAGCAGAAAAAAATGTGTATTGTTATTCAAAAAAATTTTTAAATATAAAAATTATTAAAACTCGTCGTAATGTCCTGGAAGAAATCCAATTTACAAACTGAACTGTGCACCAAAATGAACGTTGCACAGTCAAATTTTTCCTAACTTTGGAAGTGGATAAAGTAAAAATTAAGCATGTCAGTTGCATTTTCCACGCGTTTTGAGAATATGTTCAAGAGAAAAAATGTATCAATACAAGACCAAAAAGTTGATTTTTCTAAAACCACTGTGTAAATAAACCAGATGGTCAAAACAATCAAAAATTGTTTTGAGATACGAAGTTTATTTTAATGCTTTTACTGTTGAAATACAAAAAAAACGTGTTTTTCTCCAACTGATAGCCTGTGGAACCTTCAACAATTTTACATCGTTTTATTTGTCATCCTGTAGAACGTTTATCAGAATCGCCAATTTTTTGCAAGAACACGGAACAGCCGAAAAAGAATTGCACTAAATAACTCTTCAAAAAGAAATAAAATCGCTCTCAGCAATCAAAATTTATTCAGTTTCAAAATAAGTCGAAACTTGTCCGCGTAACGTCAATTTTGTTGAGCAGTTTATTATTTACTGACAAGCAGATCTAAACATCACTCAGCTATTTTCAGTTCTATAATAAGTAGTGTTTAACTTAGTTCTATAAATTTCAAAGCCTAGAGCTACTTGGCCTGGTTCCTCAACTTTTATTTGTGATTGAACCACAATGTTGCAGAAAACCGTTCAACATTTAGGGAATACTTAGGATTCGACTTCGACCAGGTTTCATTAATTTTGTTAACCACAAATATCAAATAAAATATAGTTATATGAAAGTATACAGACCAAAAAGTTAATTTTTCGGATAACTGAAATTCACTTGTATCGCGTTTCATACATTAACAAGTCCAAAATTGGCAATTTTTAGTTTAACTTGGGAATAAGTCTTAATTTAATTAAGTAAGTGCTTAATATTTTTAATACACCAACCAAAAGACAAAATTCAAAATCTCTTCATTTGCTTTAGCGCTAATATTCCTTTTTTGTATCCAGTGGAATAACTTAGGTATTCTAGGACATATATCACAGCAACAATTCTGTATCTTGCCACTTTTGTTTCAGCAAGCAATATTTTATTCGATTACATTTTAATCTAGTGTTTATTACAATTTTTAAAAACATGGTTATATAATTTAACAGTCAATAAGCGAAAAATGTTGATTTTGAAGTGGTTGCTGTATGGAATTGAATCATCGATATGTAACCACCGTCACTTTCATTTCTGTTCTAAATATTGAAAAGCAGCCCAAAAATTGTCGATCAACGTATACCGAAAAATAACAGAATCTGGAAGTTTGAAATAAACAATGAAAGTACATTCATTTTTTTATGAAAAATTGATATAAAAATATTTTTGAATGCATAACAGAGAAACAGCTGTTTAACTGTTTAGTCCAGTTTTATTATTTCACAAATGAAACTCCAAACACCGGTTGGTTATCATTAAAAAAATTATATTGATCTAAACACAATATTTCCTTGATAATTTGCGATTGCAAAAGCAATTTATCTATGTCTCACTTATTTTCTCACATTAAATTTTCCCCGTAAATTGTCTAATCCTATTTCCAAATATATGCCTTTTGCAATAGTTTGATTTAATCTTAGAGCGCGATTATGATGTGCTGATGTGAAAGTTGCATAAATTAACAAACAAACGTTTAGCAAGGTTTAAGTATGTTTAAAGATTTAGCGTTCGTATTGAAGCATCTTCTTTATAGAAGCTATTAATGCTTGTTGGGAGGAGATGTTCATCTATTAATTCAATTGGCTGCAAACGCTAGCATAATTCAATTGAATCGAATGTACCGAATTTAAACACACCAAAAACGTTTACTTATTTATGCATTATTAAAGACATCTTGGGCGATGAGGACCATGTCTAGTTTATTTTATTATATTTTGAAAGATGGAACAAAAACGGTCAATAAAAGTTTACAGAAAAACAAACGAATCTTTCAAAAGTACAGATTTTAAATAAAAAAGCGACTGTTTAGTTTGGTTTTTATGAATTTAAAAACTAATTGGCCCCTAACGGTTAGATAACAGAAAAATGATTTGCAATTTACCTTAAGAGAACTTTGAAAAACAATCGAATGAATGCATCGCATCTCACTTATGTTCTTAAGTATGTATTGTTGAAAACCACCAATTGCTTGTTCTTATTTTAAAAGATCTTTCTATTGCTCTTAGAAGTTTTGAGGTTTTGTGGTTGGTTTGAAATTATTACAATATTTTATAGTTCACTTTCATAGAAAATTTATTTCAACTTGGTTTCTAAACTTCCATTAGTTTGATTAACGTTAAGCAAACTAATTGCTAACGCCAAGCAACGATTTGTGGTTAAAGCAGTGTCTAAAAAAATACTTCTCCAATTAAGTAGTAGATTGCTTAAGCTATAAACTGTACCTCTAAAAAAATGATTCAATTTTTAATTGGTTATGTGGAAATTGAGCTGATTTAATAGACATTTAGAAGGGTTTTCTTATTTAATAAATAAACTTTCAATTATCTTAGCTGGTTTTTCGTGGATTCATGCTGGAAGGCAGATTTTATCTATGGGGAATTCTACGAAAACGGAATTCGGTGTAGAGTTAGATGTACTTCGGCCTTAAAATTCTGATATTGAATATCGGTATATTTAATATTTTATAAGGTTGCTGCTAATAGACATATGTGAAAAGCAATTCCACGACCTTTGGGGATCACTAGTTTGATGCATGTTTTAGAGGTCTACAAATACTGTTGAATCTCAACTTGTATAAAAAAACAAAACGACTGAAACTTCGCCTTTGTCTTTGTACTAAAAACCCGTTAAAACTGACTGAGTAAAATCAATATAAAGCGTAAAATAATACAATGTCTCGAATGCAGTACTTTTTGATGTCATTAGTGTATAAATTACAGATAGCAGCGAATTTGTGTGTATCAGTTTCGAAAGGGTTAGAAAAAGTAAATATCGATGTTTGCTAATTAAGCCTAAAACCACACAATAATCGGCTGTACTTGTATAATTAAAAGAAAATGATTTAGAACAATAAAAATGAAGAAAATTGTGAATTTACCTAAAGTTGCTATGTTGTTGTACCCGTTGCTAGGCCGTCACCAAGGATACCGAAGTGGAAATTCGCCTGTTGACAGGTGCCCAATCTTCCAAGAAAAACACAGGTTTACAGTCTTTTCCGTTAAAAACTTTCCACTGCCCGGCCTAAATTATTTCTTTCAATTTCCATCATTTATCCATGGGATTATCACAATACTTTCGGAGACAGTGAAAGAAGTTATTTATTGATTATTTTATGTGACGGACAGCTGTGGTGCCATCCCCGGATTCGCCGCTCACACCGGTGGGTAATAAAGAAAACTTCAGTAAGTATGCGCTCTATTTTATTCAATTTAATTTATTTAGCAAAAACTATTTGTTAATTCTTCTTAGTTTATTAAAGAAGTGTCTATTTTCATGCTCATCTTGGCGATATTCGAGTAGATTGTCTGCTTAGTAAGTAATAGCCAAAGCTTTTGATTAAATTGGTATAGGCAACCAGTAAACCAAGCATGCTGTTAAAATTGAATTTATTTTTTTATATTAAATTATTAAGTAAGCAGTTAACTTAAGTTTGTAAATTTTGCGACGTGGAAATTGTATTTCAACCAATATGACTAGTTACTTCGTCGGGCACCAAACTCAAAAAGTACCATTAATTAATCACTTTATAATAAATAATGTTACAACTTTTTATTCACATGATATATAAAAGTACGCTTATGAAAACAGAAAATTAATTTAAAAAATATAAACATATCAAAATGTAATATAGTTAGATAACATGCAATGAAATATTCAATCCTCTCTGTGTTGCAAATTATTCAACTTAGGTTGCAAGCAAATTTCCAACATAGCGTCACGCATATCGTTTACTTGATGCTCCAGCTCTCTAAGTTTATCTCGGTTTCTAAAAATATTAAATGCACAGATAAAGATCATCAGATTGTGAAATACATTTCTGGAACAACTTGAAAAAGCAAGAACCGTCATATATATGGATATGGAAAGATGGAACTATCTACCTAATCGTAGTATCGGGCTTTGCAAATAGCTCTGCATAGTATTTAATTTTCGGCTCAGTTCCACTGGATCTCAAAGTAAAAACGAATTCATGTTCAAATCTGAACGTAATCATTTCAGGGGAATTGGGCAATTTTGCAATACCATCTGGCTCACCACTGTCGTATCCAGTGGTGAGATCTCGTACGGATAGAATGCTGCATTTCCTTGTTCCATAACAAAGTTCTGGTGGATTCTGAAAGCATATGAAAAATTAATACATTTCCGTACATGTTTAAGAGTAAAAATATTTGGATGAATAGCATATCTGGCCAAGCCACAATAAAGGCACTAGAATCGTACACAATCAGGTGGGTACTTAACTTACAACCCTGACCGGGAGCTCAAACAGAGTAAAACTCACTTGGGCAACTGGTACGAACAGGAACAAAGAAAACGAGATTCCTGCGGAACTTACTAAGGCAGGGACCGAGAAACCACTGACCAACCAAGAACCTGCTTGTGGTATATCTCATGCCCAAGTTAGGGTGGCAGTTGGGCAGTGGATCTTGGA